GCAGCTCCTCCCTCGACAACTGGCATGACTAAATGAAAATCCATTAGGAACTCGCCTCCGCCATCCAGACCTCGGGGAGGAACTGGGAATGGCTCGGGTGGGACTTAATGAAAAATCATTACGATATCCGCGAGCCAGCGCCGGTCGAACGAGCCGATTGCTCCGGAGAGTCGAGGCTGATGGAGATGCGTTTCCGGGACGATCTTCGCCGAGGGCAGTCCCATTCGTTCCCTACATCGAAACCCCCGATGGTCCTCCCTAGCAAGCCGTGATTAATTATGCCCGTTTCTTTGTTCCCCACCAGTCCGAGAGCGACCTTAACCCTTGCTTTCCTGCACCCTCGAGCGGATCCCATTAAATTTCCGCCAACCTATCCCTCCTACGGATTTCCGAGGATAAATAATCCGAGCCGGTTAATCCGGAATTATCTCCCAGACATATCGACCGTATCGACAGTGACCTTAAATATACACGGCGGAGATTAGCGACAATTTTGAAGTGCACGAGTCACTCCACCATGACTTGTTAGGAGGTTGGACTCTTCAGGACGATGTTTCCACGAGAGCAGCTCCTCTCCCGAGTCGCTTTAAAGCGTTTCTAATAATTCCTGGGGAAAGGGGAAAAGGAACACCTACGCGTCGCCTTAACAAAGACCGACCCCGCAAACTGGGAGTCGAGGCGAAGGTGAAATATCGGTTGGACGCGTGCAGAGCCCGCCATGGCCTGCCGGAACGGGCTTCGTACGTGCAGGAAGAAATTGTTTCGAACTCGCGTCAAAGGCTCCATTTCCGGTTTCCCTCGGCCGGGGATCGACGTAATCCTCGAAAATCCCGGTAACGTGGCACGTCCACGGTCCTGTCCGACGTCCACCTTCGTTGCCGGTCGAGTCACCCGTCATGGCGCCAGCCGTGTCAGCAAATCCGTTTCCACCTACGCGCTTGCGCGGTGTAATCCGACCGCGAGAACCTCTCTTGGAGCAGGTTTCCATGTCATAGAGGGAGATAGGGGAGCCGGCACAACACGGAGTTTTATCCCTCCTGGGTCGGGCTCGCAAGAGCTGTCAAAAGCAACGCCCTAGACCCTGCACGGCTATTGCCACGCCGGATAAGTCCAGACCAGTCCGAGGAGCGGTTTCGGGATTTCTCCGGACACTGGGAGAAATCCCGAGTGGCGTCGGAACGGGTTGTGGGAAAAGAAATTCCAGTTCTTCAGGGTACACGTCGAGACGAGTAAATCCGGGCAAGCGGATTACAAGAACCCGGGATCACCATTCCACGTCGTAAAATGATACCATATTAAAATGATAAAATAATTCCGGATTAGCTAACACCCCCATCGATAATCCTCCTTGTCCTATCGGGCCCTCTTCCGGGTACGGATCGGGACCCCCGCGACCGGAAACGCGTATCCACCTGCGCAGGGTAAACCGACCTCTTCGAGCGGGTTTCGAGATATGGGGAGCGAAATAGGTAGAAAAAGAGAGGAAGGGCAGCTAGAAAGAGTCGGGGCTAAAATCGGGGTAGGTTCGGTAAGGGTGGTTCACGCACCGGATTAAATCCACCAGAGTTGGAGGTTAGCAGTTGGATCTCGCGTGGGGTGTTTCACGTGTTGCCGGGCTGGCAGCTCGTAAACTTCTTCAGCGGAGAGCGGCTTTTACGTCCCCGAACCGGGGGCGGTTTAATCGAATGGGAGCGCTCGAAACCTCGTCACCCTGCAGCCTCCGCTCCCCGACTCCCATGGTCTCTCTCTTTTTTTTTTATTCCGCTCTTCCGAAAATTCGTCGCCATAACGGCGAGCAAGCAGCTCGCTTCACCTCTGCGAACAATCCCCTCTGTCCCGCACCTCCTCGCGCCCTGATCGCACGTTGCTCTTATTTCTATCCCGCTTGTCATCGAGATGAAACGACGGATGAAACTTGTAATCCCGCCGTCGGTCGAGCGGCCATTTTACCCCTTCCAGGGGAATCGGTTGCAGTTCATTTTATTGAGCGATTCTCGCGCCATTAAGCCCTAGCAACATAATCCTCCCGACAGGGACCGATTTATCCAAGGCTGATTCCAGTCCTTCCGGCGTGTTCCGGTGATCGGGCATTCCGGTTATCGCGGGCCCGGTTATCACGCCGATGACACCAGGGGCGTAAGTTTCCTCGTCGGAGACTCGGCCGTGCGGAACATCAGGCTTCGGCTTAGTCGAAGTCTTAGAAGAGGCCTCGACTCCTCCATTTGCTCTACGGGGACCCTCCTCCACCCTGGGAAAGGTTTCGCCGGATGCGCTTTGCCGGTGATCGATCTCCGCGCAATCGCGTAATTCCCCTCCGCCGTGCGGAACACGCATCCACGAAAGTGCCTCAGCTTTGGTTTAATTTGGAAACCGTGGGGTCTAACGTAGGATATCACATCGCATAACGTGGAAAGGGGGGTGGAAACGCGGGGGCGAAAATCCGCAACCCCCCTCCTAGGTGCATCCCGGTGCACCGCTTGTGCAGCAAAGGCGGCGTCTCTCTCTATCTCTCTCTCTCTCTCTCCGGCTCTTCAGCCCCGAGGAAGCCGCGGCGCTATTATACCGTGATCTCGGCATCCCCGGCCGAGTTTAATTATACAGGCAAATATTATCGAACCGACGGAGTTAATTAGATAATTAAAACTTGAAGGGTAAACTACTTTCCGCAGAGCGACTCGGCCCGTAGAACGACGTCAGCCGTCGCCGGGAAGTGGCTGCTCCGAAAAGGACCAACGAGTACACCGGTAAAACATGTAAAGTGGCGATTAACCGGGAGATATCGCTTACTATGATAATCGCGGGATGTTTTATTCTTCTCTCTCCTTATACCGAGTCGAGTCCACCCCGGGAAACGCCCAGATCTAGTTTAGCGATTTTTCGCCTTAAAATCCCACCGCCAGGAGGGATAAAAAAAAATATCCCGGAATAATTCCCGAGGCGTCGATGAAACGCCACCGGTAATGGAATAAGCGAGACGGATTATCGTATCACTTTCCTCGCCGGCAATTAAATTCTTCTACTTTACCCTCGTTGGACGGTATCGTTATCGGTACTGATTAAACCGGGCCGGGGGTTACCGGGAAATCGACGCTCGGCGTTACCCGGTCGCCGATATCGCGAGGTGAGGTGCTCCCGTGGAAATTCGTTCCCGGTTTCCTGGATTCTTCCCCTTTCCCCCCGGCTCGATTATTTCCCACGTTTTCCTTTTCCGGTTGCGCGAGATCCGGTGGACATTTCTTCCGCGCCGGGGAGCGTTGCTCCCGTCTGGACCCGGGGCCGAGGAACGCGGAGATTAACTGTCTGAAAAGGCGACCAGGAAACGTCGGAGGCCGGGGTGGCCGTAAAAAGGGAGGGAAAAAAAAATACTATCAGTTATTTCCAGGGTAGCTCCAGCCTCTACCCTCTCTGCCATACTCTAGACGAAGAGGGGTCGAGTTCGCGAGGGCGCATTCGCGTAAACCCGGGTACACATCTGAACACGAATACATACAAGGCAAGGCAAAGCAGAACGCAGTCATGTTCCCATGAAATAAAAAGAAAAGAAAAAGGAAATTGGTCAGGAAAACGACAACTGTGGTAATCGTAACCATTTCGGAACAACCTGGGTAGGCGGTTACAGTAACCAGCGTAACGTAGTAAGGATCACTTCACCATTTGGTCAAGGTAACTGCAAGGAACGAGTTGTTTTACCGTGCTTATCGTGACCACTTTATATACTTTGTTCTTTTATCCACTTACTCTGGTTGCGATAACCTCCCAATTGTGGTTTTCCTGACCATCCGTTTTTTATTTGTTTTTTATTTTTTTTCCGTGCAGAGGTGAACCCGGATTTTTGGTTGCAATCGAAATCATCCAAGGCATCAATCCTTTGTTCGTAAACAGCCGGGTACACATCTGAGCACGAACGCGTATGAAGCAAAGCGAACGTACGAGGGTGGACCCTCTTAATTAAAGTGCGGCAAGCTGCCTCGGATCACTCGACACCCTATCAAAGGCTGTTCGAATGCTATTCGTTAAGATATCCATTGCCCCGGGCGATTTTGTTTGTTGCCGCGTACATGTCTGAGTACGAGGCATTTGTTCAGCCTCACCTTATTTCATATGCATTCGTGTTTAGATGAGAGGCCGGCTAGGGTCATCCACGTCCGTTTGATTAATTGCAAGGCAAAATAGAAAGAAACGCCGTCCACGTCGACCCGACTTTTCCGATTCTTCTGGGCGTCATTTGGCCTCGCCTTGCCTCGGATGCGTTCATGCTCAGATATGCACCCGGCTTAACAAGGGGGACAACTTGAATGGCAGTCTTGTAAAAACAAACAGCGACGATTAACCCTATCTCGGGGCGGCAGCCATAAACTAGGCCGGTGTTTCGCGCAATCCGAACGAATATCCCTAGGATATGAAGCGTCGCCGAGTTAAAGTGTTTAGCTTTCAGCCCCTTCTCGGGATGATTAGCGGATCCGGAGGGAGGCTGGAAGTGCGAGGGAGAGCGCGCGCCACCTCTGGGGGCTGTCGGCACCCCGGGCGGGTCGATTCGGGCCGGAAGTTGGAGCCGAGAGAGGAACCCTCTCTCGTCCCGATGCCGGCAAAGCGCGTTCGGCTTGTGCAAACGACGATTCCGAACCGCGCAAAGTCAATCGCCCGGCGTGCCGTCATGGCTCAAAGCTGAAACGCACCGCGGAAGAGCTCGACCGTTGGGTAGGGCACTTCCTCGAGTCCTTCCTAGCGTGAAATCATGATCCCTGGTCGAGGATTCGCGGGATTCTGCCGATTACAGGGTCCGTTCCGTCGCTCGCGCGGGAGGGCAGTTGTCGTTTCCATTCCTGGCCTCGAGCTCGTGGGAATGGTCGCCGAGAGGGTCCTCATGGGACGTGGTGTGACGTTGGGTATCCTTGTCGCGTCTCAAATTTGGACATCGATTCTAAAATTAAGATGATAATATCGAATAAGTAGACCGAACGACGGTATCACTGACGGCGCGCGTTTTCTTTTGTTTCCAGGCACAAGCGGAAAGTGCAGAATCTGCTGCCGTGCAAGAGTGCGGCGGGCGCAGCGGCTGCGGCCTCGGGGCGCGGTCACGTCCTGCCGGATGGCCAAGTGCATCCAGGCAGCGGTCCCGGCAGCGTCCTCTACGAAGATCTGCCAGACACCCTAGGGCACACGCAGCTACACAACCACCACCGGCTGCCGCACCACCACCCGAACCACACGAGCCAGCCAACGATCGAGGTAGGCGGGATCCCGGAGCCGGGCATCCGCGTCCCGGCGCCGCACCACCTCGACTATCTCGACTATCGGGACCCCAGGGCGATCCTCCGCGCGGCGGACAAGCCCTCCAGGGCGGTCCTGGGGGGCTACCGCACCCCACGCGCCCTCCTGGCCAAGTCGCAGGGGGTGTCACTCGCGATAGCAGCGCACACCCCCAATAGAGGGCCCTACCCCCTGGGTACCCCTACCAACCAATCCGCACAGATAGCTCACGTGTCGCAGGGAGTCCAGATCGCGCAGGCCCCGCAGGTACCGGACCCGCGAGGCCCCCTGCGAGGGGCCTCGCGCGCTGCGCCGCTCCCGACGCGCCTAGAGCCCTCGGAGTTCCTGGAGGCCTACCCCGCTCTGGGGGGCGACTGCCCCACGGTGGTCCCCGCGAACCCTCGCGCCTCCGGGATCCCCATCACGCCGACGCACCGACCGGGGGTGCGCGGTGTCCCCACCACCGCCTCACCGGCCCCGGTCGTGCGGAACCCGGAGAGAAGACCCTCGGTCGACTCCGAGGGGTACTCCTATATCGACTTCCGCGAGTCTGAGAGGTCCCGGAGCCCCGCGAGGACAACCGGGAGGACCCTGCCCCCGGGCGGGGTCGACTCCGAGGGCTACTCCTACATCCTGGACCCGTCCTGCAGGCGCGCCCCGGGCTCGGCCAGGAGGCTCGCCTCCGACGGGACCGAGGAGGAGGTGTGTCCGCTCTGCACCATGCAGCAGATACACCACCTCCTGGCCAGGCCGGAGGACGTGTACCTGAACCTGCAGGACACGTGACAGGGCGTCATTCCCGTGTCCTCGTGAGACCCTTGATCAGGACCCGAGCGATCTGCGTGGGGTCGCTTGCCGCGACAACGCACGGTGCTCCGAAGACGGCAGGGAACGTGGCATGGTGTTCCTTAGATATCGATTTCAAATCCTGAATCCGTGGACCAGTGGTCCCGTAGTTGCCCGTTCGGAGCACCGTGAAGGGCGAGATCGGCTGCCGACAGACATATCCAGGAGCTAAGAGAGGTTAGGAGCTCGTCACCAGCCCGGGCCTATGTGTGGTCCGCACAATTGGGCGGACCGCACCACACTGGTCTGGCACTTGACGCTGCCGCTCGGAGGTCGCTCCCCTAGAGTCGCGGCCGCACTAGGAACTAAGGCGGCCCGGTGAACTAGTCAGTATTTATTTTGCTACCTTAGCGCTCGAGCACACTCCACGGTTGTAAATAGGCCCTAGATGGGATCGGAGCCCGAGGCCCGAGACCCTTCGCGCGCATCTCTTCTGTTCTGTACATAGGTGTAACACGGCGCCAAGTATGAGCGCTTTTCGTTTGCGACCGCCCTCGATCCGGCACTCGAAGCACGTCGCAAAGTATCGTGTAGAAACGCTACCCTAAGTAAGTCGAAGATCGCGCGACGTCCAGGCGACTCGGCCTACGAAGTTGTAAAACGGCCGCAGCGAATATTATTTATTGCCGCTAACGCCGGTTGTCGCAGAGAGTCGCGAGTCGTATTCCTTGTAAATACTAGAGAGAGAGAGAGAGAGAGAGAATGAGTGAATGCGTGAGAGCGAGCGAGAGGGTGAGACCTACGCTACATATACGATCGGCGAAGGCGCGTTCCAAGCGAGGCGCACGCGCGAAAGATAGAGAGAGACCGTGTATATCGCCATGTGAGGGGAGATATTGAGAGAAATAAAATTACTTTGGTGAAAAAAACAATTGCACGAGGAGTGGTTATTGACCCGGTCCACATTCCCATCCCTGTCCCGCCATCGAGAGGGGGAGAGAAAGAGGAAGAGTCCAAAGAAACGAGTGCCGACCCCGCGAGATCACTGGAGAGAAAGAGAGTGAGAGACAGAGAGAGAAAGAGTGAAAGAGATATCTCAGTCCTAGCTCCGCGCCGCCCGGCGCGGAGGACCCGGACAAAGGATCAAAAGAGAGCCCGAGAGAGAGAAAGAGAGAGAGAGATTGAGAGGGGAAAGAGACACGCACACTAGACCAATCGCTTTTCCCGTCACACTCGTGGACACGGAATAACCACTTCTGTGTTCAAACCGCTTTTCTCACGGGTGGACCGAAATCGTCGCTCGCCCGATCGCTCGCTCGCCCGCTCGCTCGCTCGCTCGTTCGCTCCCTCGTAGCTTGATGGACTGCTGGTCCTGGGCCCTGTCGGGGGGAACCGGGACGTGCAGGGTACGTCGGTGCCCAGGATGTCCTGGTCGCGGCCCCAACTCCGATGGGACTCTCTAGCCTGGAGATAAAGTCAACGGGTAAACGAAGGCTGGATTATACGTCGCCATTGTGCCTAGCCACCTCTGTTCTCCCGGCGATTGCAGAGCTCCCGGCCGGACGCTCTCTAATTTCGCAAATGGAGCACCTCCGCGGATCCGAACCGTCTCCGGCGATCTCGCGCCTCGCAGCGTCCGGAAAAACGAGCCGGACCTCTGCCCGACCGTGGTACCGATGTCGCGGCTCTGGAGCTTTGTGTCGGGTGTCGCCGTTGATGTCGACGGCTCGTCCGGCTAGACTAGTAATTCGGGGCCAGAAATATCCTGTGAGAGTCGTCATCCCTTGACGAATCTTTCGCGGAGCCCCCACCTGTTGTCGACTCCGTCGAGGGCCATGTTCGCAAGGGTGTCCAGGCGAGCCCGGATTTAACCTCGACAGGGTCGGGACTTAGGTCTAATGCAATCGCCGCGATAACTAACAATTAACAGGGACTAACGTCATCGTTAGCATGGGAGACTGGATGGGGTCCTCGTAGGTCGGGCTTCGACGTCCAACCTGGCCCGACCTAGCTCAACCTGCTCTAATCCGACCTATCCACCTAGACGTGGCGCACTAGGTAACGCGCTGCAAAGGTGTCCTGCGTTAGGGTCTGTTAAGGACGTGCCATTAGCTTCCGTGCTGGCGGTCATTACCTGGGGACGTATTGCCTCGTGGCACGACGATGCAACCGGCTTTGCACATCAGCCGTTACCAGGGGACGACTTTGCCCCCTCGTCCTCGGCGAATCGGACTTCCCGAATCATCGGTGGGTTGCATTCGCCGCGTACCTCCAGCCAGGGTGATGTGTTCCTAAAGACCCTTTAGGCGGCCTTAATGAAAGCGGCCAGCGATGTCAGTTCCCGGAGTTGTCGAAAGTCGTCCAATCTGGACACTGTCAGGGATCGCCGTCTAAGCGACAGAAATTCCATTTCGGCCCTCGAAATCCCACGGCGAAACTTTCCAAATGAGGAGGACCTGGAAGCACCGACATTATGGGTGGAGGGGTCGCGTTTTCATAAGCCACGTGTACACCCGCCCCCTCCTCGGCTGCCTATACGTGTATATTGAACATATTCGGGAAACTTACTTGGTGGAGCTCGGCGAACTACATCGAAGTAGGAAGGAAGGTGCTATTGAGAATGTCGGGTAGTCTTAGGCAGCCTCCTTGAGCGTCGTAACAACCCCGGGGATACCTAACTACACGCGTGGACTTGATCATTCCCCGACTTCCTGTACCCAACGTTAAACTGGGCTCCGTGAACACGGGCAATTACTGGCCCATCCAGCTGGGCATCGGTCGAATTAAGGAGTGGTTTAGTTATCTCAATGAGTTACCTGGACTCGGAATCTCATTTTCAGGGTCTACGGATCAAACTTCGAGCGATTCCCTAACATCATTCGTTAACTATTGAGACGCGATATACGGAGGCAAAAATACGTAAGGTAAAATTGATCGGAGCTATTTCAGGGTCGGAGGTGAATTTCAAGTCGTGACCATCGGTTACCTTTTGCACCCGTCGCGCTATCAAACATTCAGCCAGTTCAAGGGAAACCGACTCACCTCGCTATTTATGCAACGACACAATTACACCGAGGTAGCTCTTTGCTCGTTACATTCAAGTTCCGGAATAGCTCTCAAGAGCGCCGTGAATAGTTAAACATCGTCAATGGGCGGCGTTCCACGGGCGAGCCCACGTGTCCCGTCAGGTAAACTCATTGTTCCCGGCTACTTTCAATGCGGAACTTCCGTCCAAAAGTTTCGACGTTAACGAAGCCATCGGAAATTAGAATGCCCGGCGTGGAATCGATGGAGAATGTGACCCTTTATGCTGGCGAGCATTCGGAGCGAGATGTCGCGAATTCGAGGAAGGACATTCCACCTGCATTCTTCCACCTTCTGATTGAACGAGGTCAGATACCGTGCTCGACTAATCAGGAAGCTCAAAGACGCAGGTCTGGAGCGCATCTTTGCGAGGTAGAAGGTGGAAGACGCTTCTTTCTTGACGGACCTCCTAAATCCCGGAAGGATCTATTTCAGCTCCTTGAGGAATATCCTTCTGGCGTCATCAGCAGAGCGCTAAAAATTGCAGATAGGAAAATCAATGTAAGGGGACTTAGGGCATAGAAGACGTACCTGAGAACGTTAGGTCCAATCGTTTAGAAAATTCGAAGCGAGATCAAAAGGAGCCACAGCCTGATGTCTTCATCGACATCTGGCTTTTGGAGCCGCCATTGTCACGGCTGTTCATCAAACCGATCCCTCCTCCTGGCAGCGCGCCAAAAACATCACGAGGGCGTTACAGCTTGGCGCTAAAATAAGAGGCAATGGTTACAGGTCGCACATATGCAGAGTAGACAGGGTGATAACTCTCCTCCGGGTCTGATCTTTCGAGAAATAGCGATCTCATGGATCACCCGCGGCATCGCCATGTGTCTTCCGATCGCTGTCGACTGGGGGCGTGTTTGCGCCGTTGCGTCCTGCTCTGGAAAGGAAAAGAGAACTTTAAGAGCACGAAGAGGACCCCGAAGAATAGCCCGAAGAGGACCTCGCCGAGGTCATTCGAGGCTGGGTGAAACTTCACTCAGGGTCGTGCTTTCCGCTTAACCTTCGCGTAGCCGTATAACGCGGTCAAAGTATAGCGTTATAGTGGTGAGCCAGCAGTTTACAGCGTTAAGGAGCTTTTCCTTATTCCTGCCGCGACATTCCCGGGCCGGACGGCCGCGAGGGAAGAAACGTTTTCCGAATAGGATCGCGAGCCCCTGAAAGTCGAGCTTATGGTCCCGCACGTAGACAGGCTCTTCTAACGGCCCTTTCCTTGCCGCAGATGCTCGACGTGAAGGACGGAGGACGTGGGGTCTTTGTCTGCAGCAGCCCCGGACCGGATCCCTACAGCTCCCAGGACCTCTACAATCCCGTCTACGAGGAACTCAGCAACGGTAAGAGACGACGAACGACTGGTTTATGTCCTTACTTCTGACTCCCACCCCCGATCCGCGGGTTACGAGCTTCTCCGTGTGGTTAACGTTGAACGACCGAGTGAGGATTAAATGATGTGCCCTCTGGAAGGACCCTCCTAAAGCCCTGCAATCATACTTCTAGATGAGAGTCGCGTCTGAGGGCGTTAAACTCCCTAGCCCAAAGATAGGCCGACTGCTAGCAGACAGAGAAGACCGATAGGTACCGTTTTCTCAGAGTGCCTGACTTCCCTCTTCTTGCATTGCCCTAGACTAACCCCTGGTTCGTTCAACTTGAGGATTTGCGATTAATAAGTGGCTGGTGGACTTTGCTGTTGATTAATCCCTAATAACGAAAGCCCCGCGAGAACTTGGCGCTCACCACGTGGACCCGAGCTCATGATAACGTCTTGTCAACAGGGGACCATCCGGAGACGGATGACGAGAACGAGATGAACGCTCGCAACCGTCTCCACCATCATCACCGCCACCTGTCGTCGTCCAAGGCTGTGAGCGAGGACGAGTTTGCAGAAGACGAGCTCTCGGTTGGCGAGCCGTCGGAGGCCAGGATGCTGACGTCGGGTGGTCCCACCTGGGGAACCTGTCCAGCAGCCTCCAGGACCGCTCGAGAGCGCCGGGGTAGGAGTCCGAGGAGTCTGGACAGACGTCGCAGGGACAAAAACCACGACGTCGGCGAGTTCCACGAGGGGATGCTCCTCGATGCCTTGTTACAGTTATACCCCAGCGTGGCAGGTTGGTTTTTACTTTTGATAACACCATTAGAGCATTATTTCCGTGAAATCCAGGTATCCAAGAACACGAATAAAAATAACGCGGACTCACCAGCTCTCATCTGTGCAGGCGTGGCCGGGGCGAGGAATTCGACAAACCCGCGGCAACAGTCCGTCCCGTCAGTGGCGCATAGGCTACCCTACTTTGTACCACCGTTACCGGCAGCCCAGGCCCTCAGAGTGGAGGAGAACCCCTACGAGAGCGTCCCCGTGCTGGGTCCCTTGCATCACTACTCGGCGGTGCAGAACCGGAATGGTAAGGAGAAAATCAGGAAGGCTGAAAAGTACAACAAATACCCCCAATACGGCAACGAGTTCTACGGCCTCCGGGGTGGCCAGGACGGAGGACCCGTCTACGCTCAGGTGAAGGACGAGTACTCGGACGCGTACTCGCAGCCCACGGACCGCCTCTACAACGAGGACAAGTACTCCCAGCCTGTGTACTACGGGCCCAGGGACACCGACCACATGTCCTCCGGGAGGCTCTATCAGGGCCAGCCTGACAGCAGTTTCGGCAGCGACAGTGGTTACAGCCACCACACCTCGGGTACCACCGGTACCAGCGGTACCAGGGGTAGCTCCTCCAGGACCAACCACAGAAAGGACAAACACCGGAACTCTCACCATTCCCAACATTCCGCGGACTACGTAGTGTCCTAGAGGTCCTTCCCCGAGGTCTGGCCTTTGGAACCGGGGAACCGGCGGGTTCCCTGCTGCCTCCCTGGACCGGGAGTGTACAAGGGAATTGGCAGTCCGAAGAGGGATTGGCGGACGTCCAGAAGCCGTGGTGCTCGTTGGTCCTCCTGGTCCATCAGAGTGCCGGAGGACTGCCGCTGGACCCGGTGATCCAGGATGTGATCTCTCACCCTTGTCTCCTTTCTCTGTAACTCTCTTCCCCCTCTGTTCCCGCGTCCCGTTTTTCACGTATTAATAGTGATCTAGCTGATGCAAGACTATTTAACAAATTGTAACCGAAATGAGACTCAGGCTCATACCAAAGGACGCCGAGTGGTGCGACGCTCTCTCCGCTCGTTGTGTCTCGTGTAACCAGGACATTGACAAGGAGGTGCGAGGAATCGGCGATCGGTTGTACTTAAGCGTGTACCAGCATCCTCTTCGAGGTTCTCTCGGCAGGCTGGAAGGAAAAAGAGCGATTTAGACCAAGAACGAAAGAGACTAAAGTTAATGATTCGTACTAGACTGTACAGAGACGCCATAGTGATAAGCGGAGATCGATAGAGAAGCGCCCTTGTACATAGTGGATCTATCCCGTGTAGCATAGCTGTATCATATCGTTATCGAGAATAACCACGGTATCGAATTTAATATATGATTTTTAATTTATTATCGAATCGGGTATTTCTGACGACGCTCGTGCGCGTTCAGTTTCTAGGAGAACACGGATGGGAAGTGCAAGAACGCGGAGGAACCTCCTGCGTGTCGTTTCGGGATCTTTCTTAGTATTTCCACTTCCTTCACTTCCTCGATGCTTTCTCTTCAGGGTTGAGCTCGCGGTCGTCGAACATGGCGTCGATGGCCGAGGTCTCCCTGCCTTCATCCCATTTCTCCACATTTCCGTCAATTTCCCATATTTACATCTCTTACTTCTAATTCCATTCTATCTAGCGTGCTGGGGGATGGAGAACTCGGATTCACCAAAATGGCGGTTCGAAACACGAGAACCCGATGACTCGTCCGGTCGAGCTCCATATTTTGTTACTCTGACGGCTGTAAATTCGAGCTAGCGATACCTCGGTTGACGAAGCCGGGTATTTTAATCGTGAAAAAGTGTGAAAATCGCGTCCCCGATCGGTGTCGTCGGCGATTCCATCCCCCCGTGTCGTCACAAAAAGTAGATCGAATACCTCACGAGGAGCACGAAAAAGGCGAGTCTATTGTATATATAATTTTATATGTAATAACACCCAAGCAAAAGGGGCACGTAGGTGCGTAGGACTGGAAACTCCGCTCGAAAGTTGACCCCTGTGCTTTAGCGATCTTTTCTATAAACAAAAAAGGGAAAAAAAGTAACGCAGGACTTCCCCTCGGGGGGGAGGAGAAAAAATTTATAGAGGCAAACTCGTAGGCACTTAGCGCGGTACATGCAGAAGATGCGTCATTGGCAATGAATTTCCAAATCTCGAGCGACGCTACTGCGTAAAGGACCTCGTTCTTGCCAGTGGACGTTCTACCGCAAGTTAAGTGTAGCTCTTGTTCGAACATGACGAAGGGTTTGCGCATTATTGTAGCTAGGGACGACCAGGTTGTCCGACGCGATCCCAAGATGGTCGCCGAGGTGCTGTCTTTCGCGAGCAACGAAGTGAATTAATTCTACGAGACGCGCGACTACTTTTGCTAGTCGATCGAACCGATCGATAAGACCGGCAATCGACATCGCCAGGAAATGTACAATCGGAAGGAAATCCAAGGATCGGTGCGTGGATCCGGATTGGCCGCGTCCATCGGCGTGTACACCGCGTCGCGCTTGTTAGGCGGAGAGAAAGAGAAGGAAATCACGCTTTTTGTACCTTTTTGCGTCCACGTTAGTCAGAGAGAAAGATAGGCGTCCAAGATCGTCCTTTTCGTTGACGAACGCGTTGTATCGATATATAAGAGCGCGGTTCCATAAGTTATTTCTTATTTATATGCGTATGCGAGCGCGTGCGCGACGCGCCGAGCCGCTGCTAACCTCATAGGTCCGCGATCGCAGATTGTTATTATTATTATTATTATTATTGTACATGTCGAGTAATTTGTCCACCGTGCGAGCGGGCGACTCGAAGAACGGGGAGCCGATTTGTGAAATCGCGCTGTTCTCTTCCTCCTGAACTGTGTTAATGAATTTAGGTTATGTACGCTTATCAACCCCTGTTTGCGTCTCGCTTTTAAGCCTCGTCGAACTGTCCATTTTGATTTGCCCGCCCTCCGCGGGCCCGGTTTTATACGTCGCAATATCAACGGTCACTGCCACTCGAGGTGTTGCTTCCCTGGACTCGCAACAGCCGGCTTTACATCCGTTTCGCGTTCAACCAAGATCTCCCGGGATTTGTACTTTTTTACCTCCCTTTGGTTGCTGCCGATCGGAGGGACGCTCTTAAAACCGAGATGCGAATCCGGGTCTGGTCCTTCCCGACTTTCCTCCGTCCCGCCTCGCTGCGAAGAGAGAAAAATTCGACTGAGTCAATTGACGCATTTCGGAGCACTTTTGAATCGTACCTCTAGTCAGCGATAAATCGACCCCGGGCGGTCTTCGGTTCGGCGTAAGACATCAAGGGCGACGGTGGAACTCCCAAGTCCGTTCCTCGAGATAAGTCTGAAAATGAAAATACGAGTCTCGTCAGGGGGTGAAATCGAGCCGAGACCCTCAGCCCGAGGCCCACTTTTTCGCGCGTTTCTCTCTGGATGCAGGGGGGCAACGGGAGCCCGAGGTCCTTTCCTTCGTTGCACGATACGGAAACGATTATTTATTCCGTCTGACAAGGGGGCGAGGTATCGCGTCCCGCCCCCAGGCCGGTCCCACGAACTCACGCTGTTTTAGCGCTAATTTAGCGATAGCGAGGGACACAATAGCGTAGGCACCTAGGAGTACCTCGATAACGGTAGCACTCTTGAAAGTTAGCTCGCACGGCGTTCTCCTTTGGCATCGGTTCCCTCTTCCGCTTCCGATGAACGACCACCCGAGGGAAGGAAACCACACAAAGGGAGAAAAGAGGCCGGCGACTCAGCGATTCGGGAATTGGATCAGGCGGGCTAATTGAGTCGCCAAAGACGCAAGGCAAGGTGAAACGAGGCCGACTTCGGGGACACTTGGTTTCCCCTATTCGAGGGGGAAAAAAAAGAGAGAACATCGCGACACGGTGAAGTCCGCCTCGTTTCTTCGGGGACGACCCTGTCAAGTATTTGGGTGCGAGTTCACTGTCTTAGAGGGGAACAGGGCAGAAGTCACGCGGTTGTGCTTGACCGCTGGCGGAAACGCTGGAGAACGTTAGCTCGCAGAACAGGGTAACTAGCTCTAACATCTAACATTGTATCTAGAGGATCACCTGTAACGAGGAACTGGTCAACCAGTCCGAACACCGCCGTATCAACGGGTTCACGTCTCGGAACTCACCGATGTCACCTGAGCTAACTCGATTACCACTATCCACACCTTCGTACTAATAAACGATTTACTATTCGATTTCACCACGGCGCCTTATTCGTTACCTGATCACGAGCTTTGGACCAAAGCCAAGATACATCCAGTCTCGGATTTTGGCTGATGGGGTTGAATATTCCCTGCCTAGTGCGCGAAACACGCGTGCCGGGGCTTATCCGGCAGGAGACTCGAGGAAACTTCCCCGGGAATACGTCGAAAAGATTAAGTGGAACCACTGGGCGCGATTACCTTATCACATACGGCAACTGTAAATACGGGTTTATTCCAGGTGCAGTTTCCAAGACACCCAACATTCGTGACTTGAATAATTTTCTCGCTCCGAAACGCTACCGGGCGGGGAGGTGGGCTGCATAAGTTGAGGATTGTTGGCGGCCACTTTTGCCTTACCGGGAACTCGGTGCCTGCAGTATATACGCAAACCACGGTTAATCCATTTAATAATCGAATAATGAAATAATTAAATGAACGACCATAGGCGAGTAAACTGAAGGATCCTTCGAGCGGATGAATATCCGCGACTCTTCGACCTCAGGAAGTAAGGGAAGCCTTTAGCCCCTGGAAAGCCGGGAAAAACCAACTAATTACGGTAAGTCGAAAATTTTCACTAGGACAGCGGAACAAGCGGAGAACAAAAATCCATTTAGGCGTCAAGCTCGCCTCCAGAAGGGCCGGAGGCGCCGGAAGGGCAACCGGGGATGTAGCAGACAGGGTCATCCATCATAATGTTCCAGCTCTTTCAACCCTCGAGATCGAGCTCCTCCTAGGGCGGTCCGCCAAGTATGAGGCGAGAAAGAAGGCGATGGCTTGCTCGGCACGGCCAAACTAATTAGCCGCATAATAAGCCAAAGGTGAAAACCTAGACTCGCCGAGACAGAGCCCTCGAGCGTCTCGCCCCGTCTCGTTGTCCCCTCAATGGCGGTGGTCTCTTCTTCGAAGCGCTCGTTATTTCTTTGGCGAGGTCCTAGACATAAAACAGAAGACCCATTAACGGATGTCAGATATATAAAGGTATAAAAATATATAAAATAATAATATCTCCCGAAACACGTTCCAGATAGTCTATATCGACCTTAAGGGGATGTGAAAGTGGCATCCGAGGAATGAATCGCTCAAAAAACCATTGTCTGAACTGGGTGGACCGAAACGTTTCAAACTTCAGAACGTGAATATAAAGGCTACAAAGAAGGTCCGGACATCCATAATATTTCATTTGGTATAACGAATTTAAAAAATATTGAAATTTCATGGGCCTCAGGACCGTCGTTATGGCCTCCGTATTCAAGTTGTAAAGTTTGGAGAAAAGCTTCATCTACGAGAACGACGCTATTTTCACGTCACCTTAAGACGTACCATTACGTGGAGGACGTTAAAGACGACGAAGATGAGTCAGACGTCACGAATCAGCGAAAACTCAGGAAACGCCGAATTAATGAAGAGGAATGAGTCAGAAAGGAATTTTTCGATAATTTCCGCGAGGAGTTCTCCGCAGACCGCAGGGGTC